ATTTTACTATGGCTACGTTCAGTTCTGGCTGAAAAAGTAAAGTATATTTCGTGATATCATAATTCATTATGGTATCACGAAAATATGATCCCTAAGAAAATGTCATCAGTCGTTCGTAATATTAATAGAATTGGAAATATTATAAGGTTTGGAAGATCAACTGCTGAGTCGAGTCATATTGGCCGAAAAGCGAGAATTAGAAACAGGAAGAACTAAATTAGTAACGGATATCACTGCAAACAAAAGAAAAATACAAGAATTGGAAGCGAATCTACTCCATAAATTAACCACTGTTCAGGTAAGAGTTCAGCAAAAAGAGTTTTTCTTCTCAAAATTATCCTTACAATAAGATTTTCTTTACTCGGATTGTAATAGGGATCACTACTGGATGATGTAGAATTGATGACTGTTCTCACAACAACGCAGAAGACAGCCGCTGAAGTAACTCTAAAACTTAATCTAGCTCGAGATACGGAAATCAAAGTCAACATAGCAAGAGAAGAATTTCGAAGTGTTGCAACACGTGGTAGTGTTTTGTACTTTTTGATTTGTGATATGTCCAAAGTGAATTGTATGTATCAAACGTCATTGATGCAGTTTCTGGAGCGATTTGATCTGTCATTGATAAGGTAACTCGCCTGCACATCCCATCAGAGAACGAAATTGTGAATGTTCTGTTTCCCATAGATCTGAAAAGTCTCCAGTGATTAGCAAACGAATAAATACGATCATTGAAGTATTAACACATCAAATATACGCATACACAGCTCGCGGCCTATATGAGAATCACAAATTCTTGTTTCTAATCATGATGACATTAAAGATAGATCTACAGCGTCGATCTATCAGCCATGAAGAATTTGAATATTTCATTAAAGGTGGTGCAGGTCTAGACCTCAGTACAATTAGACCAAAACAATGTAAATGGATAACAGATAAAACTTGGCTGAATCTGACGGCACTCACATCACTTCGTCAGTTCCAACATGTTCTAGCACTGATTGAAGCATCCGAAAAAGTATGGAAGAATTGGTATGATAAAGAAGCTCCTGAACTAGAAGTGATACCTGATGGCTTTAATAATCTAGATTCATTCCGACGGCTCTTATTCATAAGGTAAAAACAATTTATTGTTTCCTCAGTCGTATCATATCATATCACCATGTTTTTTCTATACTTATTGTACACCTTCAAGTCATGATGACTATGTGGCAATTGATCAACACTTTCAAAACGGTCAAATCTCACCATTCTACCCGACCAGACATTGAACCTGGGACCTATACGCTGTGAGGCAACGATCCTACTCACTGCGCCAGGCCCCCGGGAGATATCGGAGTTCCCTTTGCAGGCATGATAAAAAAATAGCATGTGTACTCAAAACATATGTTCTGAGAAAATCTAAAATGCCGCTCCGCTTTTTTTGTCGTTATATAATAGTATATTGTGCATCAAGGGCGGATCATGTTTTCCCGCCCAAGGTACACATGCTATTTTTTTATCATGCCTGCAAAGGGAACTTCGTGTTTTGCTGCCTGAGTAGCAGGAGGAAAGTAGTGAATACTTCCTGCCCTATGGTGGAAATTTACTGCCAACAGCCGGAAGTTTTAACTTTCCGACTTTGACAGCACCTTCCTACCCGCAGGCGGTAAGTATTCACTTCTCCATCTCTCATCAGGGAGCAAAGTGCGAACTTGCCCTGCAGGTGTGCTGAAATAATATATTCTGCATCAAGGGCGGAAAGCCATGTTTTTCCGCCCAAGATTAGGTTGCTCAGTTAGACCGCGGATTTCCATACGATACGTTCCCCCAATATTTTTCAGCCTTTATAGCTTAAATGACTATTTTCCATTCCTTTATCGGTGTAGCGTTATTCAAACCTACTCGAATTTACTCAAGTCAAGTACTTGTAGGATTGAGTCAGGTGTATAATCGATGGCGAAGAGAATTTTCGAAATACAAATTAAATTTTAGTGTTATGAATGGGAAATTTAGTAGAAATATTGATTCAAAAATTAGGTTCGTTGTTACCAAAAACAAGATATTAGTTGCAAATTTTAATCAAGAACGTACCTCGATCTGGTTAATCGTCGCTTTTTTTCTCACTGTATTGTACTAAGAGGACAGAATATATGGTACGTGTGGGGTAAAATGAAATAAATTCAGGTGTTTATTCTGTAAATATTCAACTCATCAAG